TATAACAAAATACGTAATGTATAGATAGACATATTTAAAACAGCAGGCTTTTTTATTTGTGTCTTCGGTTTTCTGGCGAGTTTTGCTCATTTTGCCGATTTAGCTTTAGCGCTAAACCCATTAACAGATTTCCCGTGCCGATCTCAAATATACCTTATTACATACCAGTATGAGCGATCCTTAAAAAAAGAGTGTTGTTTTTATAATGAAACGTAGATCTTCAATGGCGATGTGATAGCTTTTAACGTAAAAAGATTTGTAAGCGATCAAATTGATGGGTAGTTGTAGATTTGGTGTTAAGGTCATCTCTATATGATACCGCACATACTTTTCGAACTCTCGAAGGCGGTCGCTTTCGGCTGAACCAAACAAACGTTTTTCAGCATCAGCCAACCAAAGATCGTCGAGACAACCTTTCGCGCTGGCTACCAAGGAACTTGTTTTCGGACGCTTTTCTGAGAGAAGTCCTTCTTCTGAAGACCCGTATTGTTGTTTTACGCTATTGTAACGGACAGAATAAAAATAAATGGTAAAAAAACACTTGGAACCGCTGAGCTATATATTGATACAAATGTGCATTCTTATATTTCATGATGTGAGGAAAAGGGGATTGCCAGTTCAAATATTTTAACAATAATAAGCTACTTACACACAGCAATAGCCATCATTTGTTCAGCATGAGCAAACAAACACATCACATGCTGCAATTGCCGAATTAAGTTACAACTTGCGGCAGTTACCTTTCCTTGGAGAAATGTTGTCGGTCGTGCAGCTGTCGGGACTTCTCCCTCTGGTCAGCCAGAGATTCGATTTCGCTACGCAGCCGATCGCTGGCGGTGAGCGCCGAGTCCCCAGGTTGGTGGTCCAAAACTCCAAGAGAGCTTAGGCCTGTACTAGCTCCCAGACCTATGCTGCCTGCCGGGGCACCTGTACGTCCGCCATAGGGGCTTTTCAGCGTTGCTCGTTCAATGGCCTCCCGACGAAGCATGTCGCTGCGCTTGAGGGCCGCCGCCGGCGTTGCACTAGAGGATACTGAGCCGACGGCGGCGTGGCCCTCAGGGTGAGCGCTCCGATCGAGGGAACGTGGCTCTACGTCAAGTGTCCTGTCCCGTAGATCTTCATGGCTACGGCGCTCCAGAACCCTCGACGTGAGTCGATCTTCGTCCCTCGAATAGAGAGAAGATAGGTTCTCGGCGCTTCGCCGCTCGCTGGGCTGCGCATACCGCCCGCCGGCCACAAGGGAACCGGGCGTATGGCTTGAATGACCGGAGGGGCCAGAAGAACCCAAGATACTAGCGCTGGCTGCTCCTTCAACATCCATCTTGGCAAGGCGTGCCTCTCGCTCACGGCCACTCACGACGGTCGATGATCCATACGAGTCCATTGCTCCGCGTGAACTAAGCAATGAGCCGATCTTTCGGTGCTCCCGCTCAGCGCGTTCTCTTTCACGTAGATCTTTTTCTCTATGACTCGTGGTGATAGTTGTATCTCTGTCGCGGAATGACGTATCTGTCCTATCGAGATCGAGACGACGGTCGAATCGCGGACTTTTCGGCGCGGCCTTGGAAGCGAGGCCGTGGCTATCGCGGCTCCCAGGGCCGTTCCGATCTGCGCGCGGAGGTTCCTCATCCAGGAACTTCACCTCGCCCTTCATTGGCGAACGGTCCCTGAGAAGACAACGAGAAAAGCAAGGACTTGAGAAATGAGAAAACGAATGCAGAAAGCAATATATCACACTATTGTTCTATAGCCGCTATTGAGGCTAAGTACATAAATTACTCTTATACTGTACAGGACAATCAAATGTATAACAAGAAGACAGTTTGAGACAAAAATATACATAAGTATATACATACTTCATCTCAGACAATGCATCCTCAACCGTTTCGAATCAAATGGAGACGGTTGTTTACCCAATAGACAACGAATCGTTCCATATCTATTCTCACCTATCAATTCGGCTGGTTGATCTAATACTGGAAGTCAGTTCTCTAGGTTTCTTGTCGGTGTATCTCAGGTCATCGGGGAGATCGCCTCCGTGGATGTCGGATCGTTTTCGACTAGAATGAAAATGACGTACGCAGATATTGCGAGATCACTGGAACATAATCAGGCTGATAACAATAATATTTAACATACTAATAGTACTACTATATTGTTATAAATAGATACCCGTCCCCAGGCTGGGTAAGTCTGTCCGGCTCCCGAAAACGAAGGTCCGAACTCGCGGCGCTCGAGAGGGGTCTGCTATAGTCAGCGGCTGATGATGCCAGACCCTTCCCGTCTCGGTCACGTCCCACATCGTCGTGGCTCCGTCGTAAAGGGTATCGATGCGTATCAGCGTGCAGATCATCTATAGATCTACCCGCTGGACGGCCGTACGGGCGACTGGTGTCCAGTTCCATCTCCAGGTCCCGTCTTTCCCGGAAATCAACAACGGACTGCGGCCGCTCAGGCAGCTCATCGCCTCCACGAAACAACAGCGATGGCGACGTCCGGCGCCCAAACTCTCCTCCGGTGCGCTGCGATTCATCTGTAAGAAGAGCATTAGAATACTTTGAACGCATACCAAATAAACTAAATGTCTTCAAGCTCGTTAAATTATATGTACAGTAAATTATATATATATATATATATATATATATATATATATCCCTCTCGACCGTGTGGTTTTTCTCAAGCATTTTCCCGTGTGTGATGACAGCGTCTAGTAAAATATTTTATAGACCCTATCACAGAAGATTGGGGTTCGCCTTGCTACTCGCTATAGTTCTCGAGCGCAGTGCAGAAAGGATTTAGATATAAAGAATTGTATATGCATTATAATTTGTGCACATGAGCAAACAGAATGAGAATAGGCATGACAACCAAACGTAAGTGTTTACCGTCGAGGGTAGACTTCCCGTATGACGATCGATATGAAGATCCATAGGCAGAATCTTTGCGAAATCCCTCATGAGTGAAGTCGTCTCGGTCGCGATCACGAGTGAGGGTTAACTCACGTTCCTGTTCAACCGTTGTATGAACCTCCGCTGAGAAGCTCCTCTTTTTCCAGGATTGCTTCTTGCGGAGGTTTGCCATTTCGATCTGTAGTTCCTCGTTTTTGATTGATTCCTCGTCTAACTTGCGTTTGATATCGCGAACCTACCAATTTATTCCCCCGAAAGAAATCCCGCAATTTGACCCGGAGTTATATATAAGCAATCTCAGACTAAAGAATCGCCAGCCATTGTTCAGTAGAAACATACACGCAGGCATTTTAAGTGAAACAAAAAAAAATGTACTAATAACACCCTTTTGGTCCAATTGAAATAAAACTGTTTCTAATAAGGCCATCGGAGGCTGGATACGAATCTGCTCACCCTGTACATGTATATATACCTTTCCCTCGAGTCCTCGGATGGTCTGCTGATGGCGCAGATCGTTTTCGGTGCCGCTGCGCGTACTACGTGACAGTTCCATCTGGGTGCGCTTGAGCTCCGCCGACGCTTCGCGATGTAGACGATCGAGCGAACGTTTCCGTTCCTCGCTGAGGCGGAGCTGCTCCTCTAAGCTCTCTCCCTTGCGGCGGGCGTCTAAATACGCCATTTCCTTGGCGGACAGCTGTTTCTGGAGGTCAGTAATATTATCTTGTTGACCGCGCACCAGCTGGCGCAGCTCGGCCTCACTCAGGTTGAGCCTTCCCAGTTGCGATTCGAGCTCCTCGCGCGTATCCTCGAGCAACTCACGCTCTGAGCGTAGCGCCTCATGGCGCGTTCGAAGATCCTCGTGAAGTTCTCGGAGCTTGCCGGAGGTAGGATGTTAAAGAATGCATAAGAAAAACATATTTGATAATAAATGATAGAACGATCTTGCGGAACCGGAAGAGATAATTGCAAAAATTTGCTCGTCAGTTGATCATAGAATTCTGTTTATTTATCGGAACTGAATAGAACTGAGTTTGGCGTGTTTGATATAGCTTACTAGTATTGGACGGGGGCCAAAGTAACTTCTTACCATTCATTTGTCTTCAAACATACAAAGAACTGAACCCTAGTCTACTGCCATATTACGCCACAGTATAAACGTTCCTTAGAAGGAAAGAAGCAATAGGCCTCAAATGTCCATCATTAAGTTCTGTGAACGATAATTATCTGTGCTTATCAAGGCTTATGATAAATATGTAAAATTACAGCTACGAAAATGTTTTCCAACCTTGATTGTCAACCCATTTTTGCGTTAACTGCACACCTGATCATTCACACTCCTATACATCTGTATCATATGTAAAGTATTGGTCTCTGCGTGTAAATATCAATCATGTCAAGGACAACCCCAACGATTTCCGTCATTTGTAGCATATAGACTTATCTCAGCAATATTGCAGTCCAAGAAAATACTATGATATAAACGGCGTTAGAGTAGGAGCAAACCTTCCCGCAGACCTGAATATGAACAAGGAGAAAACGATAGTTGCGGACGTTTTCCCAATAACGGTCGGTACACAACGATAGATCATTGAGCATCTGAATGTGAATGTACTTGGTCGTACAGAAATAAAAAAAAATTAGATAATAAATCGATTTTTTTCGATGTTTGCCATCGTGTTTTGTCGAAGAAACGGTTGAAAATTTGTAGAAAATATCGGTACTTTTATGTCGCACATATACTCGAAAGCTACCTATATAGTAGTACATGAAAGAGGTTATTTTTACTGTAAAAAGGTTGAGGAACCTCAACGACTTAATAGGTCAGCAGTAGCACAGCTGTAGGACGGTAGGATGACCGACAGCAAGGAACGCTAGAAGGCCACAGAATTGCTAGAACACAATAGGGCAGTAAATTAATTAGGGTGTTTGCGGTATGAGTAAGCTGCTAGAATATGGAAACAGCATAGGACAGTAACATAACGGAAAGGCTCGAACAGTGCAGAAAATATATTGAATGAGGCTAATGGGGGAAGTGCAATGGGGCATGATATCCCCAATGATGTAAACAGGTTTAGCCCGAATAGCTTCCGCACGTTGAGGTTTAGAATTTTGTTGAAGAATTTATTTACTCGAAAAGTCTACCTTTTATTCATATTGGTATTGGCTATTCAGCGCTGATTCGAGTCTAACCTCGCTTTATATTAGATAGAGGAAAATAACTGGAAGCTATTAGACAGCATCTGATATCGTACGTCGCGTCCGTACCATAAATCGAACGTAAAAAAGGGATGATTGAGTGCACGAACTTCAATGTTCATACCTCTATGTATGTGGTACCATTAGTTAGCGTGGCAGTAGCATCCCAATGTTACAGGTATTGTTACTCGCATTATTCGTTAAAAAAATGTCATCGCTTCACGGTACACAGCTATGCAACCACATGACTTCAGAATTATAGCAAGGTCATGTGTGTGCAGCCTTATTACAGTCAGGTAGCCTGTCAGGCTAACTACAACGCTTACCTCATTCAATCACTTGAGACGTTAACGTCAAGGCTTCATGAAATTATATACGCGCGAATTACTAGCCGTTGCTATTCCAATGTCAAGCTTGCAACCTTACCTTAGTATTGGTAAAAACAATTACCAAAGACTAAGGAAAAGCAGAGAATTATTATCAAAGTTTATAGCTGCCTGTTTGGTTGTCGTAGCGGCTCACGTGGTCTGTTGAAGTGATTCTATGTATCATCTCTCTGATTAGCAAGATCCTCTCTGATTAGATTCTCAGTAGGAATAAGTGCTTAATGCTATCCTTAAAAATAAATAATCTCAAGGCCTCAATCACATAAAAAGAATAGCTGGGGGTACCAAAACAAAGAAAATTCTATGAAAACCCCGAAGTCGTAATTTCACATTGAACATCACAATGAATAAAAAGAACGCTGAAGCACTACTAGGACAGAAGAACATCAGGAAAATTTACTATTACATTACTCACTAAATAGTGCAAATCTAACAACCATAGCTCACCCATAAGCGACATCTGAATAATGTAGCCCCATTGAATTGATCGATCTGGTAGTACTCGATAAAATCTAGCACTTTTGCGTCACAGAACGCAAAATGCCGGTCCATAGCGTATGTTCGCTATGTATACGACTCAAACACTATATGAAGCACGGATAGCTTCGTCTTATGTCCGATGTTCGTGTTCGTCTTGATTAGATCTTCAGGGTCTTCGGCACGTTTTGTATTCCACGGTTGGTATAGACACAGCTGGACCGATAACGGCACCGGCAGAACGATCGAGATTTTTTGTTGAACATGGGACAACGCACCCAATAAGATCCAACGGATCTTCATATGATTCTTGAAATGGTTTGTTTCTCCTTAAATTTTTTACAGATTTAGCGCTCAGATAGTGTCGTTGTCGACAGGTCTGTTTCAACGCGCAATGATCGCTGGTACTTTCATGTAGTCGTTTCATTCACTGCAAAAACTTATGGGGTACACTGTGGCGTGACGCTGCACGCGAACGAATTCACGATTCAAGCACAACCAATACAAACAGAAGACCTTTTGCGTAGCAAGAATCAATGAGTGGAAGGTAGTGTGTAACTTTTTTAAGTTTACATAGAGCTCAACATGTAAATTTTTTTCACATTTATCTAAGCATCCCTAGTTGTCACTAGAAGTAAATAACATAATACGTACCCAAGAGAGTGCTGGGTGCGTGTATGTTCCATATTCGCGAAAGCAGCTAAAGTTATCCCCATATTATTTTTCAAGTCTCACACTAACTTGGGTACGTTGTACAATATAGATATATAAACGTGCCATCTCACGCGCGTGCTATCTCTTAAACGAAGCTCATAGTAGCTCGATAACAAGGTCTATAGCGTGTGCCTAACAGGTCAATTGTCTCTTCCCTTTCTGCCACACTCAATACTCGTAAGAGTACATGCAAACGTAAGTACGTGCGCACGTCAAGCGGCAAAGCATGCCGCTTAGCCTTATTATAATTATTATTACTACTGTACAGAAATTGAGTCAAGAATTTTCCCCCGTCAGGTACTCAGCTACTTGAGTTTCAAAAGCAGGAGTGAGAGAGCGGCGGGATCCACAAAACGAATAGGGCCAGTAGCAGAAAGGGGTGCAACGATCCGACGAAATCCATCGCGTAACATCGCAAATTGCTTACCGCTTCTTTCCTGCCGTCTACCGTTGCGATGGCCTGGAGCAGTGGAACAATATCGAACTAGATCCGTACTGTTCCTCACGCGTCCTTTTTGATAATTCAAGGCGGCTTAAGTGGGCGACCCGCCCCGGTCAAACGCAGAACGATCCGTCTGCCACGACGATTGAAAATTCTGCGATCCTGCAGGCATGGTCGTGAATTTAATGAAATTAGTGTATCACATATGGGGAACATGCTTAAGCAGCATGAACGGTTTTATTGTCACAAGAATCGAGCTATTTTTGCCATATAGGATTTTTGGCGGTTGATTTCTACGGAAGTGTGCTATATAGTGGACCTTTAAGTAGAACAGATGCATAATTCGAAGCAGACCAACTGACTGAAAATATTTGTAGTATACAGCAGTGTATAAAGGAAACGGTTGGTGATCCCATAAAGATAGTTCTATAGAAATTTTGCGGCAATATTATGTCTGTTCACTTCGTTCTAGATACAAATGTGTTGCCCGTGACGATAGAAATGATCCAAACAGGTCCGCCTTGTTTACTTCATAATCAAGAAATATCAGGTGTTATCCGTTACGGTAAAAACGTGCAGTAGAAGTGCGTTTTCCTACTAATATACGTGAAATAGCCACGGTTCGAAATCAGGCATAAATAGACTTCGTTTAGGGCTGAGGGCCAGCTGCCGGAAGCGATTCTTAACGGTAGTAGAGTTGAAGGTAAAACTCGTAACATTCATTCAAGCGCCAGTGTGGTACTTTGCTGAAGCTTATTCCGATTTCCGTCAAATGGACTGTCAGAATGTGGTGCCTAATAAATATTCATCCTATTCTATTGGCCTAGGACTTACGGGCAGCGAACAAAATTAGCGCCACAGTTTCCGATGAACATGAATTGTTAATCACCGTTAAATAACGTAGCCAATTAGCTATCCGGCAAATTATCAGGCTCCGATAGGCAACTGTCTAAGACGCGGCTAGCAAACCCAACGAATGCATGAAGCACAAATTTACCCCTTAGAATTACACCGAACACTAAGAGACGCAACGATGCCTTACAATAGGTAGAATCAGATTCAATAAGCTTTAGTCGATATGTTAACACTTCGTATATAGAATCAGTCTAGAGGCCAAGACAAAAAGTCCTTCCATTGTAGATCTATTAGTTCTTCAGTGCTCAAAGCTGCTATTCAGACTAGCCAGCAGGTTTCTCAAACAGGAAAAATGTCAATTAATAGGGTGACATGTAATCGACCTAAGCGCTGTGTATGTATAAATCAGTAAGATCCTTAGGAATGATTCGTGATCAATACTCTAATGCTGTGTCATTCATGCACCATGCATACCCACCTATGGGCACAAACTGGGACGTCAAATCACCTTGTGTTGTCCCGAACAGTTTTTATTAATAGCAAACTTAATTTCGAAATAATCGGGCGGTGGCAGGTAGATAAGAGAACAGTTGATAATACGACTTCGTTACCTGCACGCTACTAATAATCCCGATGTCCTACCCACTTGCACCGCAAGATGGCTTCCAACCAAAAAAACATTTCAAATTATTTTTATTACTAAAGGAGTATTTTTCGTTCGTCAAAAGACTGTTCTGATCAATGGCGTCTAGCAATGCGTTAAGAAGCACACATTGCTGACTGACGACATATTGAAATTCAACGATCGGGAGGCGGTACATCTGCATTTCCCGCGGACGAATAAATGCTATCTGTTATTTTTCTTTAGACGATAGGTTTATGTTATTGTCCATATAGTAAAATTAAACAAATAGCATAATATAATCTACAAGTATGTGTTTAGGGCCGAACAGAAAAGTCATCGCCCACGTTTAATCGTGTTGACTCTAGATTAGATGTTACCACAAAAGTTCGAGCTGTGACTGGAAAATAATGCCATGATGCCCACCTTTGTCTTCGTATTGTTGAACGGCCTAGGCAATATTTGCGATGTTATTGTTAGCTCATTGATCTCGTTGGCAGGCATCCTTCGAAGTAAGCTGTAGTACGCCCGGAATATTACGCCATTCGACAAATTCACGTAACACGTTAACAGATCACAATCTACTTGTGTCTAGCTTTTTTCTAGGCATCGAGCCTGCCTATGATTTTGCGCCAGGACAAGTCTCCCGTCTATCTGTATCTATCATTGTGTTTAGCTAGACAATATGCTTAGATATTAAGTGTATCAAATAATTACATGGAGTGATCATTAAACAAACACTACCAGAGTGGAATCACAAGTACTAAAGTGTATTGAGTATAAATAGTGCCAATTCACTCTTATGTTTTCTATTATAGCAAAACATATACATTTGATACTGTATGAAAACAGCATTAAGAATATTTGCTATGTTTGTAGTCGAAGCTAGCTATTCAGCTGTACGTAAGGGCAATGCGATATCAACGGATGTATTGGAGCCCACATTAAAAGCCTCGACCCCACTGATAATAGAACTCAATAGGCTCCTTGACGCCTCATTATACGCCATTGTATACCTATATCTCGACCTATTCGATTTTGAGGGATACACACAAGATCATAAACTTAAACCTTATAGCTATTCCGCAGCTATTTCCAGCCACGAAGGCGATTAAATCTTAGTAGGCAAGCCACCTAACCTATCCTAATTCATATCAACGGTAGGATTATTGTTTTCTATTTCGTAGTAAAATCTCATTTTTATAAACGTAGTTTATGGAAAATTTTTTTCGCTAACCTTCCTGCTATTGACCAGAACGACTTGATACCAATACGGGTAATTCATTAACCAACTAGCTTATCGTGCCTCTCGTCGAGCTATTGTGGCTAAAAGCAGGCAAACGTTTTACTATGCATCACGACTGTTACCTGCTGAAGTTCTTCTTCGAGTCCACTCGCCTTGGCCGTGAGCTGGTGTTTGCTGTCAAGCGTATGCAGCAGCTGCTGCTGGAGGCTCCCGCAGAGCTCCTGTCTTTCGTGCAGCTCGTCACGAACCTCCGACAGCTCGAGCTCCGCGACCTCACGCCGGTTATCCGATCGATGAAAGTCGATCGCCTGGAGACCAACATACGAACAAGGGACACTCAGTATAGAAACAAGTACATTCTCACTTGGACGAAACACTGCTGGCAAACGGATCACACATTACCCGTTATTTTTACATGTGGTAGAGGTACTGCCCCTAGTTAACTGACAATGAAAGGCCTGCCGGCCTCTGACCGAACAAATCACTCTCGCACAATAAACTGATACATAGTGAAGAATGATGATGATGATCCCTTTTTCTGGCCAACCGAGTCAGCTCTGCCAGTTACGTCACAAGGAGTTTTTGTTATTTTTCTGCTTATTACTTATGACATTATTATTATAATAATTATGATGACCATCATGATTAATTATTATCATTAGTACGATGAGTAAATCTCGGAGAACTTCGCTGCACAACACGATCCTCAACTTGCTGCCCAACGCTGTTTTCTTCGCATTATTTTCACACGAACGGTCTTAATTCTTAAGTGAAAAAGTGTATTCTTTTTAACTTTTCTCCGGCCTGTCTTGTGCAGGAAGAACTAAGGCTGATTCAAAGTAAAGTGAACCTCTAGCATGCGCACACGCAAACGTAGATATCTACTGGACGTCAATACCAGAGCGGTACCCCCGAAATCACGCGTTGAGTGGATTTCATCAACAGTTTTCAGGTAAAGACATGCAACAATGCGCGCTAACGCCAACTGCTATGACGCTTCAGTCGGCTGCATCGTCTTGAGATGCTATTACTGACTATTATTATTATTATCGGTTACTAGAATAAAATTGGCGAACCAATGCGCCACTGACATCTCGGACGTTTAAGGCTCTATGGCCTACCACTACTACGACAGCTCACACACGAAAAACACCAGGCAGAGTCGAATGTCTTTGCTTTCACTCTACAATAAGCGCATCACCTGATATATCGTTTATAAGAATTCAACATCGAATACTAAAGACCTCGGTGTAAACGGGCCAGATACGTTTTTTGAGATTCTGTTGGCGCACGTTGGTACCTTACAAGACGACGTCGAGATATAATCCGCGGATCATAATTATTCCACATGCAGCAATGAGTCTGCCTAAGGGTGTGCCATATAGCCTCTGTGATTTTTAGACAAGAGACGATAGTAAACATCACGGAGCACAAAAATGCCTCAATTAAAAAAAAAGAGAGCACATATTACTTTAAGGCCGGACGCCCCCCGGGTCAGCTCTATACTCCAGCCACCTAGGTAACATAATTCTCAAGGTAACTATCACTTGTAGTAATAAGCGCCTATACAAGCACCAATAGACGAGCCAGGTTGCATTTTTGAAATCGGTAGTTCATCAAAGTAGGAACTTGACTTTAGCTCTTGTCTAAAAGCGATGCTTCGGACTTCTCTGTCCTCACTCAATTCTGAGAAGACCTCAAACAACAACTCATCACACTCATGTTCTATATGTTATTGCACATATCGAGCAGACAAACGCAGCTTCCACCGCTCCGGACTGACTCCTTTCCGCAACTTCTACGTATTCCAACTCCCGTTGCCTGCCTTGTGTCGCTTTAGCTCATGCGTTCACGACATAGCTGTTATATGCAGCAGCGACCCGGAGTAAACAAGTTGGATAGACGTTTCGTAGGTCTGATCACAAATCGAGCAATGATATCTGATAAAATAATTCCTTGTGTGTATCAACGGGTGTTCACCAGCACCCCTCGATCATAAGAATCATCAAAATAACATGACTGAATAAGCCGCCTGTCTGTGCTACCCGAATTCGCCAACAGAACCACTCAAGTAAATCAAAATTTCGAATTCTCTAGCCTTGTATATCTATTAGCGCAGATGTAATTTTCAGTTGAGATTAACAACTAGTGATGCTCGCTCCTATTGCAACAACCGTTTCGACATGTTCGTTCGCCAGATTTGTCGTCAGTAGTGTATGTGAGTCAGCCTAGGCGAAGTCTATCAGTCGTAAACAGAACATCACAGCATTCGCCATTAGCACTTGGTATTAAGCGACTACTGGCGAGTAGCACCAGTATCTCCGGGCACATTCACGCTGGTTCCCCGCGGTCAGCGATCCGATGGTATCTTAACGAACGAACATGGTCAATGGTAGCCAATGTAAGCGACGAAGGCAGGCCAACTAGACCGTTTTGTTTTCACTGATATTTACTAGGCTCTTCTCAGTAGCAGCGATAGTCGTAGAAGGAATGGGATTTTCCAGCGTACCTCACATGGCCGTCGCGCGATCACACTTCGTGGGCACGACGACGGTCAAAGGCCGTTCGGGGCCTCGCTGTTGACCGAGCGGTGGCGCGGAGGTTGGCGGCCCCCGTCCGTTCTGCTCGCTCGCTCACTCACTCACTCACTCACTCACGCACCCCACCGCTCACAGCTAGCACACATTCCCAATGGTGGCAGCATCAAGCTCAGCGGTAGAAGGTAGCTGACTGCTTGCAGACAGCAGCAGCAGCAGCGGCAGGCCGTTACAACAGGATCGCTAGCTGGTAGGAAGGGCCCTTACATGTCGGCCTGCTTGCCTGCCTGCCTCTTTACCTATGTCAGGGGTGCGCGGGGGCGGGGTGCTGCTAATCCTCTTTCCCTCAAGGAGCGACCAGCTTACTCTCTCCCAAACCGCGCCAACTGCTCAGCCAAACTAGGATCTACCCGATGTCCAATTGCCTGCTTTACTTAGCGCCCGCATTACGGTGCCGTTGCATTGCTGCTTTACCGTGAAGTCTATATTTTAGTTGTCCATAGCTGTAACGGTGTTGACCGTTTACTAAATTCAAAACAGTAGATTTTTAGCGCATTTGCTTACTGCGACGTCGGGTCCCAGCCAACGTTACCTTCAGTGAGAGTTAGCTTGCAACCTAGCTTCCTACTAAACCACTTACTGTTTGTTGATGTTTATTTAGCAAACGACGGGTTAGCGATGCGGCCCGTTTTTTCTCTGAATTTGTTCATCTCTAATTCAGATTTTTTACGCTGATGATGCCGCCAGTGGTTTCGATGACACTGTAAGGGGTTCTTGATATCCATAGGGCGAATGATGCTGACGGACAATGTAAATGATAAGCAAGTTTTATTGAATAGCATGCACGTTTTATTGATAGCGTGCACGAAAAGAAATGTTTACGATTTAACATAAACATGTTTAGCGCGTGACGGAATACACATCGTTATATTAGGTCATTATAAGTGAGCCCGCCAAAGGTTAAAATTGAATATCTTTTGAGCTAGAGCGCTTTTCCAATATGTTTGAGGTACTCTCCTTTATTTTTTACACCTTTGCTCCAGCGCTCTGGACAGCTGTATACTTTTTATTCGTGTCCTCATGTGAAATTTCTTTATTTATGACTTCTCGAAGTAAATAGGTAATGGAGTATGCTGACCGACCGGTTGTTCTTTTTAGCGCATGGGAAGCCTCGTAATCAGACAGACATAGATCGGGAGAGTACGCCAAATAAAAGAAACGTTAGATACACCCTTACTCAATCTATACGGTAATTGAGGCACGGCGATGCGGTCCGGCGTTTTGTCAAGTAACTGGACCGCGTGCTTTCGATTGTCGTGCCAACGATATACGGTATTCTCTTGAAGAAGTTGAGACAGCTGGTTGCATTCATTGTTTCATCATGCTAGCAGATGGCTTTAATGTCCATTGTCAGTACGACCGCCACCCATTGTTTGAATCTATCCGAGGCAGCCACCGAACTCGATGTCCCTCCAGAGCGACGCTATTTTCTCACCGGACCCCTCTCCGGCCACCAGTAGAGGTTGAGCCATACCTCGCCTATGGCGACCACGTGCTGCAGCCGAGTTTTTTTTGTAAATTTCACATGGAATACATCACACCCTGGAGTCATTTTTCATTCACTATTTAGATTTAGAGCATTTTCAGTATATGAGTTATAATTCTGTAACACATTCTATGTGAGATACCAATTTTGACCGATGGGTACTTAGCCTCTAACCTCTGCTTCCGTGAAAAGCCTTCTCGAACGCGGTAATGCGTTCTAATTCTTCGGCCCCCAACTACTCGCTGGTTTTTAGAGCCCCAATCGCCCTTCTTAAAACGTTTGCGCCATCAACGTGCTGCGTTTGTGTCTAAAGCATTTTGCCTAATGTTATCCGAATTGTCCGGTGATACCTTCGAGGAACAATCTTGATTACTAAGCGTTGCATTTTGAGAGTAAAGGCTGTTATTCCTCCTCCATCCTTTACTCTAGACGTAACCTCTGCCGGTTTTTATCCGCAAATTTCTAGAGCTTTTCATTCCGCAAGTTTCAAATTCCATATTCTAGTGGCGCGTAGTTTAAAAACTTATTCAATGTCAAAGTCCGCCGGATTCGCTTGTAACAGCCTAATATTTTCATGTAAATTTTCATGCAGTATAATTCAATCTGCATAATAGAAGATACTTCCTCTTAATACCATTTCTTTCGCCGCATTGAATTTTGTACAATATTATGCCCGATATTAATAACTAACGCTGCACGTTTAACCAATACATATTAGCATTAAAGTTACATTGAGGTCCTGCATCGGCGCTAACCATGCCGCACCATTGATGCCACTGGATGGCCTTTAGCCCATCGGGCACGTTCTAAACGGATGCCGAGTTTATCGCTCTGCAGCTTTCTACCGGCGACAATCCGCCAACGTATCGTCGCTATCAACCGTGGCGCTGGAATTAGCGCGCCTCACCCTGGCGATTTGAGTGCAAGGAGCTTAGGCCTTCAAAAGCTTACGTCACACTCCTCGTGCTGCTGCAGACAGAAAAGGACACCTCTCGCCAAGCGCTCTCGCTTCCTGGCGCCATCTTGCGGCGCTGTTTCCGTTCAGCGGCGGCAGCGGCGGTAGCATTAGCAGCAACGGCAGCTATGGACACAAAAGTTGTGGGAAAGCAGCGCGGTCTTCGCGCCGTATCCCGCGCCATGCTAGGGAGCTATGGAACACAGACACGATTGATTGGCCAGGTTAGTCCTGGCTTGATCGAATGATTATGGGCTGTATTCGCCGGAGCTGTGCTATATTCAGGCCTGCAGCATCAGTCGAAAACAGACAGATCGAGTTAGTGCTCAAAGCTGTACGGCACTGTTCATTCCAGCCCAGCTTCAGGCCGTTGGCAACTTTATGTGGGCTTGGTTCGGGCTTGCTAGACAATGAGAATGTTTCTTCTTCCGATTGCCTGCTCCGCGCTGCACTCCTTTACGGCTATGGAACGAAAAAAAAGTCGGACGCTAAGAGAACCGATCGTGCAGGTATGAGCGGTACAAAATGTAGGCTAATTTTGGCTGGTCTAACACAGTAGTTCGGTCGGTTCCATAAGGAAAGTAGTAAAGGGAACGAAACGATAAAGCGGTGGCGAGTTAAACAGTCTTTGCTGGTGAGAAGCGTACTCTGCAAGATACTCGACCCTTGACCTCGATACCTCTGCACCCATATCCGTGCCGTAATTTCTCAACAGGGGACCTTGCTACGTAGGCCTTGTGAAAGGTATAGCTAATAGGGGTCATTATAAAAGTAACTTGCGGTAGCAACCAAAAATAACGACGAACATTAGCGTATCGCGAACAGCTCGCACGCTCCGAGACGCGCCAGTTGATGGGCAGTGTAGTTAAACGTGCAGGTTAGTAGGCAGATATGCACAAAGTTAGGGATCATTGTCGATCCTGCTGGATCGGTCTTCGCATTTTATTTCAGTTAACTTAAAGAGATCTAATCAGTCAGTAGCCGAGTTGAAAAACTGAGCGCATACAAAGGTAACTGCTAGTCCTTGATTGGCAGTCTACTTTATAGCACTGGGCTTTCGTGGAGGAGGAGGAGGAGAGTGTGTATATGTTTATAAGCTCTCCGGTACAAGATCATTCGTAATATGTTCACAATTGGGATTATTAAACGAAATACTCAGTTTGGATTTATGAATTAATTGCTTAAATCAATGGATTAGGATAAAATCAATCAAAACAAAGGAACACCCACCAAAGCAGCGAAATATACGTAACAACTCATAAAAAATCTTTTTTTTTTTTTTTTTTTAATGTTATTTATGTTTACGAAAAGGACCAGCTGCAAAACTATTGTCGCCGTTAAGTTACCTTGTGATATTTCGCGAATATTTGCTCCAGCGAGAGTTTTTCTGTTTGTGATTGATGCACGATCTTCTGTAGCTCTCCGACATTTTGATAAAGCATACAGTTCTGAAATAAAAGACTATCATTACTAATCAATCACTGTGTAAGCGTGTTGCAGATAATCCCGTTAAAAAACAAAATTGCGGTTTATGCTGCAGCAAACTATAACCCATCCTTCTATAAATCAATTGTATCGTAAATTAAAATCTAAATTGAACAATCGTATAAATATGAATCAGGGCCTAATACGAGTGACATGAATTTGGCAAGGGACAGCATCGCAATGATTCCGTCCGAGCACAGCCGACCAGTTCTTGGCCTAATAAATGATTTCCGATTAAGGCGTCACGCAAAACATTTATAAACTGATTCCCGACATTACATAAGCGGCGACGAGAAAATTAACAGAAAGACAAACGTAGATCTTTAACTGGGTCTTTTTGTTTCGAAACGCATACAATGCCAAATAAACCTATAAGAAATCTAGCTAGTTCCTATTTAAAAGGATTCAATCGTACGTACATACCCAAAGAAATTTGTTACCAAAAAAAAAGAAGCATTTTTAAATTGCTAAAGATATAAGCCCGAAAAAAAGCCGCAAAGCCATTAATAGTCTAGTATATTAATCTCCGATTTGTGGTGGCCAGCATTTGGGATAAAATTATATTTTTCATATACCACCGATGTGACCGTCTCCAAATTAAAAATACTCACATGTTCATGTTAACACATTGGGCTAGCTTTTCCAAACTGGCTTTGCACGATAATTTATAGTAACTTGGCATGCAAGAGGGGTACTTTGAAGCATCGAAAGTTCAAATTCCATTCATATGTTTTCTTCTTTAACCTTCAGTCTCATCTTTTCGACCTTCAGCGACATACCCGCAGACAAATAATGAACTATTAGTAACTTGCTAATATCGCTTAGGTCATCTGGCTTTTGTGTTGTTTTAATGTGAACTTAATTGAAACGTAGAGAAATGAGCTATTCCCGACGTTTGGCTTCAATCTTAATAATGTATAAGCAAAAACAATCTCACGTTAATATGGCGATCCTTCGAAGATGATGCGGTCGCCATTTTGCTCAAGAACGAGAAAACGCTCTGGGCCAGCCTAAACCCGCCGACCTTCCCCTGCAACTATTTGTACAGTGGACGTTATGATTAATATTTCTTACATTTGTATGTACTAATAACATCGGAATAATAATAACAGCACAAAATCCACACGAATGAAGGGGGTTCGTAGAAAATGACAGTTCTACAAGGCTGTCCTGGAATCAATCATGTTTTTTTTTCTACCTAGCATTATCTTACGAGAATTTTAACTTGTTACCACAGATGTTCTTGCGGTGCAAAAGTGGACGTAAGTTTCCAACATATTATGGCCGAGGTCTATAATGCTAATCAAACTGATACAGGATAATAACTTATTTGAAGACGCCATTTAATATCAGATGAAAATCGCGGAAAAATTTCACGCTGAAATTCTAAAAAGAAATGGAAACTAGCCTAACATTAGGACATATTGCTACGAGGCATATAGTATGAGGTGGTCTAAAAGAGGGTAGAAAAAAATGAGATTGCATTAGATTAGCGGCTTAACGTGGAGGCGCTACTGATGCATTGGCGTCATTGTGATCTGGTGAACGTCACCCAGAAGCCAAAACATAAAGTAACTTATGGATATTTATCAAATAAGGAGGCAAATATTCACAGTTTGACTGCCCACCCATAAGATATTATAAATTTTGAAACATATTATTAATGTATAAATTCTCTTCAATGTTGAGTCTGTAAGTCCTACAGCTGGACTTCACTAGGATGAAGAATGTCTTCTTCATTATGTGCATATATATGGATAGGCGATTATAGGTGGGCTTTTCCAGCTTATTTCGAGAAGAGGGCAAAAAAAACGAAAAATTGCGAGAATTTATTGGCAGTAAGTTCCCAACAGCTACACCCACTGGTGCCGTCCAATTCAGACATTAGCCTGTCATCATTACCGATATTTTGCCGCCAACTTTGTCTTTTTTATAGAAAAGGAATCTAAGACTCAATCAACATATTTTTCAATTAACGTAAAAAGCCTTTTTAAATGTAATATCTTTGCTTTTTTTTTTAACTTTCTAGTCTATCGCTTAATCTAACCTTAAAGCTAAACAGGAATGGATATTTAGATATTTGCCGGTTTTATGTGTCTGTAGTTTTTTTTAAGGTAAAAAATTAGTAATGCTATGTTTCAGAAAATATACTGAACATTTTGTTGTTGAATGTTGTTCTAAATTTATTATTATATTCGTCACAGAAATGCAATATCATTAATGTAACCCAATTACTTTTATTTTGGCAACACTAGGCACTAAAGCTACCGGGTCGATTGGTGAAAAAAACGGGCATCAAAAGGGTCAACAACCACTACAAAGGTAACATAACAAGCAACGTTGGCGTCTAGCTTTATACATAAATTCATATTTTTTGACGGCTTGTCGTTGTTATCATTGTTGATGCGCTTACACTAAAGGGTTTATTATTTGTATTAAGCTACCTTGATTTTTCGAACGGCTAATGTGCATAGAAGCATTATCATCTTACTGAACTTGTTTCTATCACCATGGTAATGGTAAAAATCTGTACTGCCTACATTTTTTGTACTGAAACCGATCAGACCCGTGTAATTCCTTATAGACACCGCTCCGCAACCACATCGGGGTCAAAGGGTGGTACATGGTCCTTCGGCGCCGGCATCGGACGTGGAAAACAAGAACGTCTTTATGTACGTCGAAAAAACATATCTCCGCAACATCTGCTAGAAATTACCAGGCTGTGTCTAAAAGTCGAAAAGCTAAGTTTACTATCTTCTCTGTTATTAGCTTTATTGCAAGCGAATAGTGTACAGCATGTATCACTTCATAGGCGTATATATCCTTTCAGGATTTCTTCGACATTGGTAAAAAGGAGAAAATTCTATCAGTTTTTTAGATTTGTGGCCGTTTTTCAAAATGTTAAATTATGAAACCTTAGAACCTGCAATAATATAAACCATGTCATCGAAAATGCTCTTCTATTCACCCTTCATTCCTAATGAACCAGAGGTGGGTCTTACATAATTTACCATTTTTGTACAAGCTGAGCCTGTTGCAAGACCTGGTAAGAGAAAAGTACTAAGCTATTTTAAGACCTAAACGGGGCTATCCTTTGATTCCCGTGGCCTAGTTTATCATTCCGGCCGGCTACTATAGATGCAGGTGCAGAGCACGCAAAACGAAATTGCGAAGGTACTTCGTGGTCCATATCTGAGCCCTATAGGCTGACTAGAAAAAGACAGCCGAATCATGTGTTTGGCGCAATCAAATTTTCCTTTAGTTCTTAAATATAATTTTTTCTTGATAAATTTAGTATGGGGTGCGCGAATGAGGTGTCTTTTCATATTTTATTTTAAATATCAAAGCTTATTCTAAATAAATCTGTTATTGGAGCCCAACAAACGTATGCATTTTTTATATTAAATCGAAGTTATCGAACAGTTAGCGAGATTGTTCTGCCTGTATAGCACCGCATTGTAACCTGGTGCTAACAAAGGGAAAATATTTCATAACGCTAGATAAATATTTGAGTTAAAAATAAGTTATTGTCAAAAATACAATGTTTACCCTGCATAGTTATATGCAAGGATTGAATTGTTGCGATGCCTTGGGTTATCTAAGCGCTACTGGGCTTGTAAACAGGAAGACAGAAAATCCACAAACTCTAATAAGGATTCACATATTTGTTAGGTGTTGATCGATGCCTGCACTTACAACTCTAAATAAGCCATAAATCTTTGCCATAGGAAGATAACTTAAATTAGATTTTAAACGTTTAAGCGGTAAAAATTCTATTCACAGATTAGAAAGCAGTGAAATTCATGGAACACAAATATCCCTTACTTCACTTATGAATTTTAATTTTAATACTACCGTCTTAATCAGCTGTTCAAAGGGTCGTTGATAGAAAAGTGTCACGTCTTACTAGACTTTTTCAAAACTTCTATAGTCAACAAACAATAGGGACATAATCATGGAGGTTCAAGTAGTTTTTTTATTCAAATACAGTTCATGAAGGAGTTATGCAGTTTTAATTAAATTATCAAGGTTAGTCACCCTGTCTTAATAACTATGCTGGTAGACGTCAATGCACGCTTTTCAAGCGAGGAACAGTTCTAGCACTAGATATCCAGCTAAGTGGCCTTTCTCGGTAATATGTAAAAACGGATCAGTCACTGAAATGGCTAATGTTTGTTGATAATGGGTGAATTTGCCGGGTATAAACAAAGTTGAAAAGTCCGCCTCAAGCGTCGGTTGTCCTTGGAATTTGCAAGCTAGCTAGAGTGACCTTGATCAGAGCGATTTTGCTAGAATCGTATTTTAGGAAAGCTTGTATTCGCCTCGCCAGGGTAAAGGCAGCGCTCGTCTGAATCTTCTAGTAGAACTAAGCTACATGAAAGCTTTTAAACCTACTTGAGTCGGTGGCTTTTATGAACTTTAAGCACGGTATCATTAATTGAAGACGGCCAAGGTATTTTAATCGGTCGAGAGTTGTAGTCGAAGCTTTAGATACTCCTTCAGTGTTGTTCAGACCGCACTGAAGTGATTAGGGAGGCGTCTGTGAAATAGAACGCTGAATAGCTTTAACCAATAAAGTTCTGTAAGATATGCAACCATACGATAAAGCATGAGTAAGACGTATTCAGATTTCCTGTATATAGGTATACCGAACGTTCGTAGGCGGAAGATGAGCCTACCTCGCAGGAGTGAATCCGTTATACTAAAGGACAGGTTACATACGCACGGCGCCTCTTGTTACTAGGTCAAATTCAATTCAGCGTATCCGTACGCTGACTGACCTCAACTAAAGCATCGAAGACAACTACTGTTTTCCCTCGCATGATGAGAATCATCCGCTGTCATTTTGTACAATTATCGAATTATACGTGCACTTCAACGCTGACACCATCTCCATCACCGATGTTAATGTAAATCACATTAGATACTTATCGACAGCTCGAGCGACTATGACGCTTAATTTTGCCCCATCACCAGTCACTACGGATTCGTCACGCTGCAGCATTCATTCATTGACCGGCACCGACGCACTAGTGATTATCAGCGGTCATCATGTGCTTCCACGGGCTTCATTTCATACTTCCGGCATTTGTTCGTTGCAGTCCGTTTCCATACAGCCAACCGAACTTCAACATTATTCAACACCACAACGGGCCAGTTCCTCTGCTGCTAAATTAATAACTTCACTTCTTTACACCCAAAGACTCAACTTCTCGTCCGTCAATTCAATTACAACCTCGAAACGGTTTATGTACGACATAAGGGCAGCATACAATATTGCTGGTTCTACAACAGCAACCGGCGTCTGCTGACGATCAACGTAACCTCTCTATGACGCTTTCTACCGTCACCAGTCGAAAACTAGAGCCTACAGATGGTAATTTCCATAGGCTGACTAACGGTAGGCCTGCGCGACGTACTGCCATAGCCCGCGCAGTAAACAAGGGCTTACCGAGCCATTGGTTACCGCGCCCACGCGCTTGGCGCGCAGCTGCTGCTGCAGCCGTTGTTGTCGTTTGCGTTATTGTTGTTGTTGTTACCACCGCTGCCTTGTTGGCGTCTGCACATCTGCAGGCCGTTTTCGATGGACACTTCGGACATGGTCTCGTCGATCGGATGAGTTCGTGATCGAAGCGCGGCGGCGGCGGCGGCGGCGCCACGACCGCCGCCGCCGCCGTCACTCGACATTTCCCTCGACGACAGTGAAACAGATGTACAACAGTTGATAACAACAACAAAGTCAAGTCAGATCGAAACAAAGGAAAATAGAAATGAACTTCAGTAACAACCGACCACAGTACTTTTGCTATCGCTACTAGCACACTATTAAGACATATTCCCAACGGCTGCTTGAGATAGATCGGTCAAGAGACAAGTAAGTCTTCCGACGTAAAGTCCTGCAGCACATGATACTGTACAGGGTGTTCGAAAGAACGATGTGTTATGGTAGAGTAGTCTTGTTGACGCTTGTTATGTTGACGCTTTTATAGTTTGTCGTAAAATGTTCCCTCTAAATATATATTCAGATAGTACTTAGTAGATAAAAATAACACATTATGAAAAAATTATTGCCGTAGGGGATTTCAATACAAACATCACTCGCTCTATAGGTCTGATCCGAGTTCCTACCATTTTATGAACGTTTGCTCCTAATTACGTTTCATATAAGCGATACTCTATAAACATATGTTGTCAAAAAACAAGAACGCAGAAACCTATTGTCGAAAACGCTATGTCAAATGAAGCTAGTTTCCTGTAAGTAGTCGTTCGACCTTCGGAACACCCTGTAACTTCGGAACATAGAACTAATTCAGTATTGACGCTGCTATTGTTGCATAGCACACAACGAGTCATAGAGACGAATTGTATGTGCAGAGCTGGTACGAAGTCTGCTCCGTTCGCCAAACGGAAGTTAACGATGGTAAGAGCGGCAGCGGCCGCAGCCGGCTGACCACGAACCGGTTACATTAATGGCTGGCTCAACGGATAGAGCACCAATCCCTATTAACTGCTATGAACTAATTTATTGGGCACGGTAATATCGAAAAGGAGAAATATGAGGGAAAAGGGAAGAAACTATTTTAATACCGGTTTACCTCTTTGCGTTAGGACTGATATACGGTCCGATGCAGCCTTGCCATCTGGCAGATGAAAGGTCACAATCTACAAATACGAATAAAAGCCTGAAGAAAATCATTTAAGATTCAGCGTTTTCGATCTATTACACTTTACATTGGACAATTTTGGACTTCATTTAAAGATCTATCACCAGGTGAAATAGAATTTGACGCTTCTTTATTTTTAAAAAGGAATTCATTTCAACTTAAATTGTATATTTTCCGAATTTTGCGATCGAGCACGTTCCAAAATGAAGAATATAACGTCAAAGTGTGTTCGGGGGGCATCTCCGAACGGTTCCTTACACATGGTACAACGTTCTCGGAGCATTGATCGATCAGATTTCAATCAACCTGCGACTATACTAACGATATCTATGAGTTCGTTTGCGTTTATCGAACGAACTGGTAGGCATTAGCGCTATGAGTAATATGGCATAATACGAAAGCCGCATGCTTGCCTATATTATAAATGCCTCGAATATCTTCAACGCAAGCCACATACGAAGAAAACGGGCGGCTCACTTGTGCTTATATCGTTGTAAGCACGTTCATACATACCTAACCCGCGCCGATGCGTTATATAGTGTTAAGGAAGAATAGACGTTATCTATTGAAGTGTCGACACTGTAACGGCACACGACTGCATTGGGTAAGTCTTCAATGCAAGCTTGTCCGCTACACGTTTCGCTTATTATGATTCTATTTAGACACCAGAAGATCATGGATAAATACGAACGAAGCAATCAAAGGCTTACTGCAGGAGCTGATTTATTCGTAATTAGAAAAGGTTACGCGCTTAATGATGAGACGATAAAGACGAATTGCATCTCTAGCTAGTTTTTCCTAAGAGAAAAGGTATCGCATATTTCAAATGTTTTGAATAAAAAAAAAAACAGTAATCCCATATGATCTCCAAACGAATAATTCTAACCGCTAAAATCATGCTATTTTATGCTGATATTTATAGACAGCTCCACCCAGTTACCGCAGTTAAGCGTATGTCAAATTGAATAGCTTGGAAACGTATTGACTCACTAGATGCACGGACACGAAGCGTCGTGCATCTTTGAAACCGGCCGTAGGCACACTTCGCTTCGCCCTGGGAGCAATCCGTCTGAAACAGTGATTGACGATACGACTGGGCTAAGTTTCGAAATGTTCACTGGGAATTGACTGGTCTGCCGAATTAGCCAGGGTCATGACATTGATTCCGACGGGTCCCTGAAACTGTTGTTCCATAAGCGAGGTAACGGATGCGACGGCGCGCTACCATTGGCCTGTAGGTACTCTATTTGAAAGAGTTCGGTTGTTTACTAATCTGATTGTTTGTATTGCGAGATTTCTACCTCTGAAATGCACAAATACATCTCTGATGAATGCTCACTTGTCTTGAGTGTCACGCTTATTAATGTTATATAAGCGCGCGATAATTACATTGTGTTGACGAGTTTACCCCCTCCAAGAAAAAGAACTAAAGTCTTTAGTTTGCTCATGACACTCTGCTGGGCGTTTTTTTCTAGAAAATCCATTGTCCGGTACAAACGGTAGTATCAAGGTTAATTTTTGATGGTAGACTAAAAAGGTACTAACTTTGAAATGAGACCGCCATTGTTATGATGATCACTGAATAAACAATAATAAATGTATTGTTATGGATAAACAACAAATAAAAATATTCAAACTGTATGAATTGGATACTAAATACTCTCTCACAATTCTATTCTGTAAATGAATAAAAACAATAAATCACTTTTTGCTCCAATTTGTTTATTAGTAAGCGTCAGTCAGGTCATTGCAGACTTTCGCCATGACGTCTATTACGTGCTTCTAACAACTGTTAAAGATCGACTGTAGAATCAATTTATAAAGGATGGCAAAAAATTGTCTAGTAGCTAAGAAAACAATATTCTCGTGACTGATCCAAAGATCTCAGGATAAATCATAAAATAAGCTTATTTCTGCAGATACCTTTTCGTAGATACTTTTTTTTTTTATTAACCTGTGTATTTTACACGTAAAATTACGTTTTTCATATAGTGTTGTTGATTTTTACACAAATTTGCGAGTCAGCTATAATCTTAAATAAGAAAGGTGGGAAAACATAGAGCCTGAATTTAAAATTCCCATTCGAAAGCCGCGCACAATTCCAAAGTATTTAATCTGCTATGCAATGCGTTTGAATGATGGTTAAGTTATTCATACGTTGTTAAGTTCATTTTCAACTGTAACTATTCATAGTGACGAAACTTTTTTTCGATTAAAGCCTTTGTGGTGCATGTTGGCTTTTCGTCCAAGAAGGTTATGTAGAGGGCGTAAAAGCCAAATTTTAGAGCAAATTGGGTTGATCTATATAGAGGATTGCTGATATACGCGAGCAGCACCGGAAGCTTGAGTCAGCACAGTTTATTTCGTTGATGTGATCGAGAATCTCCTGCTCTCCGTTAGGTGTTAACCTAGGAACATATCGGCCTACGTCTTAGCTTTGGTACAGCTAGCTCGCTCATCCTATCTCAAGATAAGAGCCAATCATTTACCGACATCTGCTTATAATAAAAGCTGATATATACATGTCTTTATTAGATATTATGAATCCGTACAAAGATAATGATGGCAAGTCGACGCCGGCTCACTCAAACATTTACCAATTTCTCTTGTTGGTTTCCATAAAAAGGGTTGTTGCTTGTTCGTAGCGGGACAAGTTCTCATCTATTAAGTGAATCGTAGATACAGCCGGCGAGTAACTGGCAGCTCGAAACTGCTTTCTACCTGTTCAGATATTAGTGCTAGTTGTCAGCCCAAAGTCAATTCCATGCTGCCCTGATAGCTATGTTTATCCGAACTTCAAATAATAATCAATACGTTAACATGGAAATAAATCAGTCTCGACATTTTCAGAGAACACGAGGATTGTTTGTTGAGCCAAGCTTTTATCGATCATCTAATAGTTCCAGCTCTCGCTAAGTCATCTCTCATTGGTGCTACTAAATGCGAGAGATTTACATTTTACAAAGACATTATACAAACAGAAACCTTTGTACCTACGATGCTAGGTAGGATGAAGTTCGTTTGACGCTTGTCATGTATTTAGCCGTTCATAGAGGTTTGTCCCTGTAAATTTCTTGTTCATCGCGGGACATCGGTTATGAACAATTGTATATCATCCTGGTTGGTTCTAGGGACTCGTTGCTGTCATAGAAAAAGACATACATTAATTTTCTAAATTATTCGTAGTACTAATACCTGTCTTTGGCTGTTGGCTTTACATAGACGCAGCGTTCCGATGAACTCGATCGAGTTGATAGAACAGCTGTATCGCTGTTGACACCTTACTGTACTGCCTAGCAGTGCGTTCAGTATCTTACGTAAACTTGACAGAATACAGGCTATCATGCCCGCTCGCCTATTCTATCAAAACTCACACTTTAATGTTACTATTGTTTAGACTATTCGATGTAATCGCTGATTGCCGATACGTGCAATATGCATAGATATAAGAAAAAGACACGTATGTTTATGTCGTATGTGTATATTGTGTTACATGTTAATATTATATATGCATATTAACCGTATTCGCTCATCAGTAGCTTTTCTGATCTCGTTTGATAGAACGTTTGCATATAGATATACATAGATCCGGCAAGATGCCTCTAGCAACCGCTAACGCCGCACTGTAAAAAAAAAACTAAACTTCCAAAATAGGAGCTCGTCAATAGACTATCGGTACTTTAGTCCACTTAGAGTAGAAGTATTGCGAAGTATTGAAACACTAATTTACGAACAAACTTGTGCGAAAAGTCAGTTGCAGTTTTTGTCGGGTGTTTTTCTTCTATTGG